CATAAGTGGGCGTGGCTACGCCCATTTTCCAAAAATTTATAATATTCCTATTTTTCGTCTGAAAATTATTACAAATGTCAATTTTGAGTGAATAATCTTCAGTAGTTACTAAAATATCGCAGTTTTCGTATTTGTGGAAATTACCGTTATATGGGAAGTGGGCGTGGTTATTGTCCGATTTTTTAAATTTTCGGCCATTTAGTATGCTGTATCAAGGCCAACAACTGTGCCAAGTTTGGAAGAAATTGGAGGAGCGGTTACCAAGATATACACATGTAACCGTAAGTGGCCGTGGCTACGCCCATTTTCCAAAAATTTATAACATTCTTATCTTTCGTCTGAAAATTATTGCAAATATCAATTTTGAGTGAATTATCTTCTGTAGTTACTAAAATACCGCAGTCTTCGTATTTCTGGAAATTACCGTTATATGGGAAGTGGGCGTGGTTACTGTCCGATTTCGCCTATTTTCAATACCAACCTACCTTGGATTAACAGAAACCTACGTACCAAATTTCGTTGAGATATCTCAATTTTTACTCGAGTTATCGTGTACACGGACGGACGGACAGACGGACAGACGGACGGACATACAGACATGGCTTAATCGATTTCTCTATTCATTCTGAGCATTAATATACCCTTGTGCACAAGTGCGCTCGGATATAAAAACTGTATATCGCGAGATCGCTTTTTATTATTATCATCAAAGTTATATTATAATCACTGCGATAAGCCCGCCGACGCTTCTAAAGAATATTACATCTCCTATGTTGTGCAATGTCTGAAAAAAACATTTGCAGCGGCTCGAAGTCAATGTTCAAAGGTAGATCAAACATGAAGCAATATATGCCAATGAAACCAATAAAGTGCGGAATTAAAATTTGGATGCGACCTGACTCGAAGGTAGGTTACACTTACGATCTTAATCTTTATACTGATAAGGAAGCAAATGCTGTGCAGTCTGAACCTACCACTCTTGGAGAAAAAGTAGTTTATAAATTGGTTTCTTCAATTCGTGAGAAGGATGTTTGTTTAGCCTTTGACTACTTTTTTACCTAAATTAAACTGTTAGAAATAGTCCCATACCCCGCACTTGGTACATACATTCAGAACAGAAAGAATACACCTAAATTTGTCGGAAAGTTGGCCAGAGGAGAAAGTCAGCTTCAAATAAACTCTGGCGGTATTTTGGCTGGATTCAAAAGAAGTCCTCCTAGCTTCAAATTGTCATGAGCCGTCGCTTGTAGACAATCATAGAAAGAAAAAAGACGGATCAAAGAAGAAAAATAAATGTCCTAAGAGTATCAATGACTATAACAGAATTAAGAGTGGGGTCGATTTGGCTGACCAGAAGACAACCATTTATGATTTCAATCGTAAGTCTCAAAAGTGGTGAAATAGGTGTTTCATCACAAATTCATGGATTGTTTATAATGAACATAAGAAGCAAAAGTTATCACTAAAAGTCTTTCTGGTCCCCCTTGCTGAAGCAATGATTTTCGAAGGAAACAAAAGGCGTGAGACAATCCCTCGTCGACAGGGAGGAAGAACTCCTAAGCGCTCAAAGACTGATAGCCTCAACGTTGGAGATCACTTGCCAGTGGAGCATGAGAAGCGTTGCCGTT